GTAATGCCCCTTCTTGCACAATCAAATTCCAAAGGCTGGTGCCTTTACTGGAGCACACTTACAGCTGCAGTGTGTGGTCTACATTGCATGGGGAAACAATCTCTCTGCTGTACCAAGCCAGGCTTTGCTACTAAGCCAGCTGTGTGGTTGGATAAGAGAGCAGGACCTTCCACATTGCCAAATATTGCTTCTATGTATGATCCAGCAGCGTGGTCAAGAAAATTCAAGACATTGCTTGCTAGAAACTTGTGAACGAAGAGCAGTTGTCGCACTTGCTTTAAATATATACTTTAAGACAGAAGAACAGGTTTGCAGCTTTGTTTCAAATTATGGGAACAATCTGCGTTTTAACTAAGTATGTCATTAAAGTTGCCCTAAAAATTAATGGAAGGTTGGATAAGTCACTGAACTGTTGAGTGAATTGCAGTCCTTAATGTGTGATTCTGTGGACTGTGGTATTTTGAGAGGAATTTCCAGCACTGGCTGTACTGAAGGAATCACAGTCTAATCACGAGATGGGGATTCTTCTGTACTTTGGGTTGCAGAAGAGGATTTTCTGCGGCCCTTCCCATTTTTCAAAAATATTTTTGAGATTAGTTTCTCCCATGAGATACTGCAAAAACCACTATACTCCCAAATCAGATAGGAATTGATTTTCAGAGAGGCTTTTCCAGGCAAAGGAATCTTTATTCTATCTGCACATGACTACTGAGGAATTTCTGCTCTCCACAAGCTCCCCCGACTTCACTGTGAACAGTGATAAATACAGATATACAGCACAGCTCCCTTTCCAAGCCATGCCTTAGGGCAGAGCAAACATCACCTTGACACAGACAGATGCTTTTGCTTCAAGTCTGATTGAAAGCCCTCAGCAGAAACCGAGCCATATTACCATTGTAGGAACACACAAATGAGTTGCTGAGGGAAGCAATTTACTGCTATCCAATTCCTCTAGAGCTGCTGTCCATTTACAGGCTCCTACCCTGCAGCTCATAAGGTACAGCTGGCTATCTTCTGCAGAGGAATAATGACTTGAGAAGTGTTAGGGAGAACAGCAGCTCAGAGAGACAACTGGGAGTCACTGATCCTATCCTTGTGCCTCATTTCTTTTGAAGGACAGAGCATTAATGAGGCACTGCCCTGAAACATGTAAGGAAGCTGAAAAGAGAGGAAAAATGAGCTTTCACTCAACTTGAAATTAGGATGTCAAAGAACAGTATTAAGATACCAGCAAAACCAAGGAGAAGAAATTCTGTAATCATCTATTCATCAATATTAGAAGCTTGCATAATAAACAAGAGGAGGTTCAATTGCTCATTTGGGAGCATATTTTGACCTAATTGTTGTTACTGAAATCTGCTGGGAAGATCTGATTCATTGGAATATTAAAATTAATGACTACAACCTATGTAAGAACAATCAAATGTGGGGGAGAAAGGATAAGGGAGGGGCAATCTGTCAAGGGATACATTGCCTATTTGAACACATTTACACCAGAGAAACATGCTCTCAAATATTAATAGGCTAACTTATTTTAACCCTTCCAAAAGGAAGGGTTCTTTTCCAGTCAGGGCAACGTGGGTGCAGTCAGGTCACGGGCTCTTCTGGCTCTTCGGTGAGCGTTTTGGCATGTGAATCACTCTCTCTTTTGTACACTTTTGTTATTGCTGTTTGTTTTCTTATCTCATTGCTGTTTCCAGTAAATTGTTCTTACCTCAACCCACAAGCTTTACCTTTTGTGCCTCTAATTCTCTTCTCCATCCCACCACAGGGGGGAAGGGGAAGGGAAAGTGAGGGAGCAAGAGAGTGGCGCGTGGTTTTGAGAGTCTTGGTGGGGGCACTGAGCTGGGGAGTACCATTCCTAAATTGCAACAGAACTCCAGCTTATACTGTATGCAGTGTCTAATGCTACTACTGCTGAAACATAATGCAGCTAGTAATGAAAAATACTTCTGAAAATTGTAGGTGACTATCACCTAAGTTGGAAATGTGGCATCATTGCGCATTTATCTGTATTACACCTAATCCTGACGGGTGTAAATTATTGGTACCTGAGATGCAGGTGTTCTTGACTTGCACATATTTATTATGCGAAAACAAATTACTATAGAGATAAATAATTCTGTGCATGAGGTCCAGCAAGTTCTGATCAAGGAAAAAAAAAAAAGGCCCCACTTTTTTAAAATAAACCTAATTTTAAAAGGTAGAGAAAGCAATTTTAGGGGGGGGGAAGGAGAGAGGGAGAATTTTACACCAAATAGTATATAGAAACAGTGAATAAGTAGTTGTGAGCTCCTGTTTCTGAAAATAAAAATAATATTGGAGCATTCAGAGGGAGAAGAACTAAAGCTCAAGAGGAAGGATGCATGTGTGTGTATGTGCTACTTCTTTTGCTCCATTGCAAAATTGAAATGCTAATAGTGCAGTGGAAGCGCTCAGTAAAACATTCTGGTTTCAGTTGTAGTCAAGTCAGATAGAATATATAGTATATATAGGATATGATGAAATATCTTCCATGCTATCAGTACTGCAGAAGCACCAACTGTTGAAGAAATAGTTTGTAACAAGGAAATCTGTCTGGTTTGCGCCTGAAAGCTTTAAAAATCAGTGGTAAAGAATTCTCTGGGCTGTTAATGACTCTTTTGTCTCCCTTTGTTCAGTATAATAATGATAAATAATATAAAAATATTTTCAGAAAAGATAAATGTGATGATTGGAGGGCATCAGCCTCTCATTCTGGCAGCTATCAGAAGCACAGCAGTGAAATAGAAAGTGGAAAAATCAGCTGAGTACCAAATTAAGCGAGAGGAAATTGTTTAATGGCAGTTGCCATGAGTTCATGGAAAACCTTTATGGAGAAAATTACCTTTTCTAAAGTTTATTTTTACAAGAAAGTTGTTTGTACAACAGAACATTTTATGTAAGTGTACCACCTCAAAACTGTAACCTTTCTCAGCCAGGTGCAATCGCTTATCTCCCACAAATCTAAGTAACTAGAGAGCACAACATCCATGCAGAGCACATCTAACATGCAAAAATACTGCAAATCCATAGATAGTTAAATGTTAAGGAATCATTAGAAAATGAGTGTGTTTCTAGAGACTGTTCTTGGCCTTGTGATCCCTTCCACTGGTGACCTGGGAGAAAACGAGTCAGTACTGATTTGGTGTGGATGACAGGGAACAGGTCACTGAGATAACAGGATGCGTAAGCAGGAACGATTTTAATGTCTGAGGACAGAGTTATCTCTAGCTAGTCCAGGATCTAGGTGATTTTTCCTTGATGTTGGCCTCTGTACTACAGACTGTTGACCCTGAAAAGGACTCATTCGGGAATAAGGTGGATAATAAAGTAAATGTGAACAGTGATGGTCAGTGCAGAAAAATGGTCAAAAAGTGATATGATTGTTGGGTGTTTAAACTGAAGAATGTCACAGATGGTATTTGGCTTTGATGACAGCTCTTCTGGAGCAATATGTCCAACTCTGGTACCTGTAACTCCAGAAGGTGTCAACATACTGGCAAAGGGCACCAAGGGTAATAAGAACAGCAAAAGGGGAAATACCACAAATGAAAACCATGAGCAGTGCCATTTGTTTAATTTATTCAAACCATAGGAGATCATTTATTGGTATTGAAAAATGAAATCTGACACTAAAGGACACTTTAAAATGCCAAATGCAGACATAGGAATTCGGTATCTAGAAAGAAGGAGAAATAAAATGAGATATACATTTGTAAAGATAAAGGCAAATGACCCCTACGGCAACTTCGTAAGAATGGTGATAGAATTTCTACAGTGGCAATTTTGTAATAAAGTTTGATATGTATTAATCTCTGGAAAATGCACAGCATGCTTTAGACAGAAGTCAGTTTGAGAGTCTCACCTGCACTGTTTTTCATGGAAACCCAGTCCCAGAGGTAGGAGGGAGAGATTCCTTTCAGCTAAAATCTGGGAAAATTAGGATGGACTGTTGTGGATTTCTTTTTCCTGTTTACATTTAAAGAATGTAAATGCAGCTGTTTCATTGGTGGTGTTTGATTTACTGTTGCTACAGCACATAAAGCTGCTATGAGAAAAGGAATCACTTTGATCTCTGTCCATCCGACAGCCTTGTGTAGTGAGCCGTGCACCACCACGGTACTGTGATACTTTAAGTGGTTCTCAACTCCCTCTGAAGATTTCTGTGGTTCTTTTCCTTTGTTTCGGATATCCAGCTCTCCATCATTTTGTTAAAAATCAAAAATAGGAGTGGCTAATGGTAGTGAAACAGTAAGAGTATAATTTATTTCTCTTTTACTTGGTGAAGAGTTTTGATGTCCGTGTCAACAGTAAGATTGGTGTAAATGTTTTTAAGATCAGAATATTCAAGATATTCATTTTACTTTTTAGGATACATAGCCTTTCTACTAGTTTCTTGTTAAGATGACTTTTTTTTCTTTTATTCCTGCAGAACTAAACAGAGTAATCTGTAAAATACACCACAACATATATGATACATGAGCATTGTCTAATCTCATAGCTGGGAATCAAAAAGGGGAAAAATTCAAGCAGTAACCTTGCATAAGGATATCTATAATTAAAGACTGCCAGAGAAAATACTGTTTAAATCCCCAGTACCTAATATTCAAGGACATAAAAAAGGACAGGATTTATACATTATCGGTGCCAATTAAGAGTAAATGTGACTGGGACATACGTCAATGCCAGTTATGTGTCTGGTGGAGCAGGAATAAATAAAAATGACTGAAATAAGAATAAAGGGAGAGCCAATCAATGAAGCACTAGTGTTTTCAGGGATGCTTTTCTATCACTGGTACAGTTCTACCAACCTCCAATTGACTGATTTTGAAAAGGGGAGCACTATTAAGGTTAATAGATTCAATATACAATAGCTTCATTTTGACAGTATTCTTGAAGGCAGATGGATTTAGGTAAGCAAAATCAGACCTTAATTTGAAAATCATGCTTTCTGTTAATAACACTGAATTTTTTTTCAGAGTATGAAGGATCTGGGACAGAAGTTCAGAGAAAACACTCAAAATGTGGAGTTTGCAAATATAGGGCTGAGTGTGATGAAGATGCAGAAAATGTTGGGTATGTAATGTTTTCTTTAACAATATCACTGAATAAAAGGGGAAAAATGTTAAAAGAAAAGAAAAAGTACATGATCTTGACTTGTTTGTACTTGACTTGTACTTGAATATGTTTCCTCTTACTAATTGAAGATTTAATGCTGTCCAGTAATAATGTATTTGACATGTGTCTGTAAATAACAAACTGTCTGCAGTTGCAAGGTAAACAGAGAAAACAACAAAGAGTTGTACTGGACGATCTTTATATAATAATTTTCAAACAAAGGACCTTGGTTTGTTTTATTCTGCCAACAAAACAACCCAAAACCCAAACAGGAATGCAAAATAATACTGATAATTCATACCTGAGATTTTTTCTTTTTGTTCTGCTTGTTCAGAAAGTGTTACAGAAAGTTATTTCCATCAGTGCAAAGCTTGGACCTAAACACGAAGTTGAACTGGGGACCTAAGCCAAAGTCACTGTGACATTTGACCTCTTAGATGCACCCAAGGGAAACTCATTAGAGAAATATTAATTACTTGTCAAAGTTCAGAACAAATTATCAAGAAAAAAAGAAGCTTTTAAAGACAATCCATAATGCAGAAGCAGATGCACCCAATCTCCCCACTCAAGGTACTTGGTGGTTAGAGTGTACCCTGGCTGTCAGAAAGGGCAGAGACATCATGGAGGAAAGGACTTCTTTAGACAGCCCCACGAGGCATTAAAGGTTTTATGAGAGGTAAAAGAAGTACCATCTGACAGGGTTTTGCATTCCCATAGCCATTGTCCTGGTAGTGGACACCAGTGTGGAAGAGGCTTAACTAAGGCCTGGGCTGATGGCAGGCACTGGGGTTGCAGCTGCAGATGCGGTGCGTGAGGATGTTTGAGAGATGTGCAAAAGGTACATTTTGTGTACACAGAGGGAACAACGTCTCAGTGCTTGAACATCACTAATCGGAGGAAGCACCACTCTCCCTTCTCTTGTCTTCCAGCCAGAATCCATTTAATGTTGAAATATGTCTTAATTGCACAAGACTTTATTTGGGATATCCGCATGAAGACATCTCAGGCAGTAAAGCAGCTTAGCACTAATATTCAAGACGTGTATTCAAGATTAAATCATAACATACAAGGGAAACCAAAATGGTAATAGTACGCATGAATACCAGCATGATACTTCACATTTCATAAAATGCCATAGTACAGAAGCAGGCTTGTTCTTTCCAGGAGAGAAAAATGAGCTGTAGTTGTTGTTATAATACTAATAATTTTCTGCAATATTGCCTTGTTCTGTTTCATTTATGACTAGCAAGATAGGTATAGATTTGTTTGTTGTATGCACTGAGATGTGCTTTTGGCTTTGGAAAATAAATCCTGAAACATTCAACTTCAGTAAAAGCTTTCCTAGTCTTTCTGCACTTGTGGACCTGGCATTCCTGCAGCTATATAGTATCTATAAGAGAGTTAAAATAAAGTTGAGTGGAAGATTTGTTCTCTACATCCTGCTCATATAAAATGAAACCATGCTCCTGCTCCTTGACAGCAAGAGGAGAGTGGTCTTTTTGTCTCTAAGATTTCTTTAATGAGTCCTCATTAAAAAAATATGTGGAAACAAAAACTTTTATGTAGAAAATACTCAAAAGTTAACAAATATTCCCATAAAGGTTATTCACAATTTATTGGATAATTTTTCCTTTTTTTTTTTTTTTTTTCAGTTTTCAAACCTGTGTAATTTAATTTTTTCTCCAGTATCTTTGACCATTGAAACAGGCTTTGATGATACTCACTGTTTAGATATAGATTAAATCACAGAAGCAAGATGAAATTGAAATCTTCTGGTTAGGAAACTTCAGTAGAGTACCCCTTACAAATGCTTTTTACATCTAATTTTTACTCCCTTTCCTGCTGTGTTTCAATGTGGGTTTTAACATCCTAAAATTATATGCAGCACAAGTGTTTTTCATTAGACTTGTATATCATCAGACTTGTCTGAATTATCATTTAATTCAATTTTTCACCATATTAGAAACACTATCACCCCTAATTCTAGCTAATCACAAAACACCCTAATTTCATAAAAATGTTTTGTTTTTATTTTCTGTTTTAAGACATAAGAATGGCCACTGAAAATTTTTGAATAGTATTGTAATGTCTATTGAACCACGAACTAGAAGTACATTTATTTCTGTTCAAGTAGATTTCTTAGGCCTGCATAACCCTTGCTTGCACCTTGTGATGCTAAAACACTTAATAGAGTGTTTAAATGATTACAGAAGGCATTTAAAGAGAATTTTGTTTCATCATAGTACCTGGATGAGTTAGCTGAACTGTTTCCTAATGTTTAATAGATAATCTCAAGCCATATTCATGATACATACAGTAAATATACCGTCATGCATTTTTTCATTTTCTTTTCCAAGCTGTGCAATCTGAGACCTCATCTCCTTCTGTTCTGAGTGTTCTTGAGAAGCAATATAGTATTTGTATCCTGATTTTGAATAAGGAAATTAAATTAAAAATAAAGTATTTAGTGCATTGGTGAAAGAAGAGATATAGATGCCAACAAGTGTTGAGTGGTTTGAGGTAAATGAGCTGGCAATAATGAGGAATCCCAGGACCTGCCACGAGGCCAGCCACAACAGACTGGAGCACAGAATAGGCAGAATTTCCCCCAATAATGGGAGGATCCTGCTAAAGACGATTTTATTCCATAGAGACTGTGGTTTGTCTTTTGGGCCAGGATAGCTGTGAGAGTTCTATGCAAAAAATGGTGGCACCTGCTACTTTCAGTGAAAACTGTAGGATGATCCTTACAACACAGAAACAGGAGCAAGGCCACTTGGCATTTCCTGATTTTTGGAGTTGAACTTGCTGATGTCTAAATAGGTGCCCAGTGCTATCATGATGGGAAATGGGCACATGTCAAAGCATGGGAAATTCTGGTTTGGTGTAATGGAAAATGAATACTCAAACATGGTGTCTGGCATTTCCACTGATAGAGATGGTCTGAACTTGATCAGACACAGCCTTGGGACCAACTTCAAGTAGGGACTGAGACTAGATGACCTCTACACATCCCTCCAAGCCTAAATTTATCTGTGAATCTGTGTGATTACCAAATCTTGGTACTTTTTAAAAGCACATTTATAAGATCAGTTACACAGAGCTGAGATCCACTCCATATTGCAAGTCAGTGATGTCAAATTTTTGTATTTTCCCCTTTGAAAAAGTTACAGATTTTTTGTTTTCATGCTTGGTGTTAAAACATTATGGCTATCTCTTGATCAAAGATGCTACTTAAGCTTTTATTAGGCTAGATCACACATGGTCTGAAGAGCTCAGGCTTTGCACAGAGTTTTGTATCTTCATTTTGTTTGATTTCACAGAAACATTATCTATCTAAATCAGAAATGGTAAAAATGCATAGTAAACTAATTGCAAAAATATAAACAACTTTATAATTTCCACTACCTCTACAAAAAATTTCAGTGCTGATTCTAAGTGGAGTGATTGAGACATAGAAATAGTGTCTGAGGAGAGGGTCGTCATAAGCAGCATACTTAAAGAAATTGTATTCAACTGTTTGCAAATCAGTATTTTATTTCTTTATCTAAACGCAAAAAGGAATCAGGTTGAGGAAACATCACAGAAATGTATTTCTCCATATTTTTCTTCTTTTTCCATACAACTAGTAAGTATTTTAAAAAGTTGTTAGTTTGTAGTTAATCTTTTCAAGGTCATAGACAATCACTTATGGATGCACTAGTCCTAAGTTGCATAAACACATAATATTCAATATTGTCCAAACAGTAGTTTTCTGTAAGTCTAAGGCAACAGGGTACAAACAATAGGATTCCCATAGCTTGGCTGTGATTTTTTCCCATTTAGCAACAGAACTGAAACAGGTGGTATATGTCATGGGAAAAGCTGCTGCTTTCAGTCAGTAATATTAAAACACTTTAAATAATACAGCATAAATGCAAAACAAATTAAGACAGATGTGGTTGCAAAATAGTTTTCATCAGTGTAGCACTTAGATCAACTCTTTCTTCAATGAAAGCAGTATAGTATTTGTAATGCTACTGTGACTTTTAAGAACTCTAAGTGAATTTTCGTAAAACTCAGGTAAATAATGTTCAGTGTAATTTTTATAAAGCTTCTAAACAATATGATACCTCAGTTAACTGCATATGACTGAAACAGAAATTATTATTTAGAGTCTTTTGAGAGCTGAATAACTCTGTTTTTAAAATTTTTTACCGTAGCCACCTGCAGCACTGGCAAGAAACTGGTAATATAAACATGCTGGTGGAATTGGTTTTTTTTACTATTGTGATTAGAAAGGTGGGCTCTTAAGTACATATATTTTTCCATAAGACTTCAATTTTCAAATGATCCTGATCTTCATATGTTTTTAAAGTCATCTTACTATTGTCTGGTCATTTTTTCCACAAATTTTTGTATTATATTATACTACTTTAATATGGACATTTTAAATATACTGATTCCATTGAAGAATGGGAGTTTAATCTCATTTTTTTCTTTGAAAGTATCTTTCTAACATAAAAAGTAGTGTTGCTTATGAGGCGTTATATCCTCTGCTCTTACATTGTTTTTGTTGGGTGTCTCTTTCCTCTTGCATGCCAAAACATTGCTAGATACCCTGATAAAACAACATGCCAACATGTTGCAAGTCTTAAAAGGAATGTTACTTTAAAAGGTATTTTAAAATGTGTTGTAACTTCAGGAAAATAATATCCAAAATGAAGTAATGAACTGTAGAGTAACTTAGATTGGAGTGATGTCTAAGGAGTCATTTGGTGTGGGCTCGTGCCCTGCACTGCATCCAGAGATAGTTCATTCATTTGAGCTCAAGGGCTTCTCCAGGAGAGGTCTGACCATCTCCATGAAGGAAGATTTGACATCTGGGCATATCTGCTCAAGAGCTGAGCTTCTCTCACTTTAGGGAGTAATTTCCTTGTGTTCAATCAGAATTTCTCTCTCTGGAACTTGCAACTGTT